GGCCCAATTTCGCTCCGTTTTGGCCCCGAACACTGTTTTTGAGCTCCCGGAAGCTCGTTCAAGTCCGAATCTTGATCCCTTGATGATTTATTCCCTTTTTCTCAAATACTTGAACAAAAATGAATGATTTATGATGATTTCATGTGGAATCCCATTTTATGACTCTTAGAACGAAAATGAGAGTTTTATCCATTAAAATCACATTTTTATGAGATGATTAAATACTATTTACGTGCAATAACGTTTAGAATATGATGTAAATGATAAGAACGAAACGGACTTATCAAATTCCTCACACTTAAACGTTGCTTACCCTCAAGCAACAAATTGAATAAGTATAAGTATAAAGACAAATTAATAATTGCAGAGGGAAGGGTTAAGCTACATATTATGAAGGAAAGAAGGATTGAGATAGTCATCAACCTTTTTGTTAAGAATAAATGAACCTTTAGATTCTCACCCATATGGTTAGAAATGTAAAAGAATTTTGTCAAACCAATATTTTTACACCAACCTAAACAACCAAAATTTTCCAAACTTTCCTTGGGATAACTACATTTGTAAGAGTACTTTAAAGATCAAATAATTTTTTTAATGGCTAAATTGGAAAACATGTTCTTGCAAAAGTATTTGTCAAAGTGTAAGGGTTTAATTTTCTTTGGCATAACTTTGTCATGTTGACACGAGAAAAATTAATAACCTCATCCCGTGACATAGAACCACGATCTTCTTTTTGACTCAAAGACTCAAAAGGCCTCATCACGCAATATAGAATCACGTGCTTTTTGGCATACTCACCAAGCCTCATCAATTGACATAGAACCAATTGCTTTTTGGTTAAAACAAGAATCTCGGTCTCACCAAAGTATGCTTTGAAACGTCACCCCTTATACCTTGAAAATAACTCTTTTTAAGAAACAACAAATACTCAAAAGAGCATCAGCAAAAAGATTTTCAATAAAGCACTTAAAAATTAATTGATCTAAAAAAAAACTCTTAATAAATTGTGAATTTATCCCAAATCATTTTAGAAAACATTCCCAAAAGGGTAGAGTAAAAATAAAAGTTTGACAAAAAATTTAAAAATTTCCAATTTTTACAGGTGATAACTAAAGATTAATTAATCAAACAATTAAAATTGATGACTATTTTATAAAATCTTTTCCTAACAATATATAGACAAAACAATTCCTAAAAAGATCATTTCAACCAGGAACTCTTACCTCCTCACACTTAAACGGAACCACGCCCTCGTGGTTAATAGTATTTGGAATTGGAGTTAATGGTTGAAATGCTCAGATGCAATTACTAAGTTATCTCAATACTCATAAAATTCAAAGATGAAGATTGAAATAATAGATAACCATAACACAAAAATATGAAATAATGCATAAAATATTCTCAAAATGGTTTTAAGAGTCATGTTGTGAAATCCCAAAATAAAAATCATCAAGCATCCAAATCATGTTCAAAATAGTAGAGAAAAAGAGACTTCACTGATAAAGTCAATATTCTCTCAATAGCCAACTTCAACCAGGACTGTTGGATCAAGAAGCCTCGAAGGTTGCCGAAACCTTGTGCTTTCCCTATGTGAGACCTCTTCTTCGCTCCCACTGTAAGGTATGCCCTAGAATTCTCTCATCTGCAAAAGCAAAGTCAACAAACAAAATAACTCTTGCCCCCAAAACTGGTGCGGCAAGTAGAAACTCAAAAATAACAAATAAAATTATTGAATTTATTTAAATATTTTAGTTATTTGAATGACGGGTTGCCTCCCGTTAAGCGCTTCTTTAACGTCCGTAGCTCGACGCTCACCCACTTTTTCCGAGACTTTCCGATCCGTGAGTCATAAAGTTTGGCCCTTCTGACTCTCTTCTGATGCCACCTTGTTTGAATTTTTGCTCGGTCAAGGTCCAGGATCCTTGATTCTTCCCTGCGGCTTGGTGGCAACAGGATATATGGAGGAGACTTTGTATAGGTGGGTGATGGCGGAATTCTCCTTAGTCGATCCACATCTCTGGCCTTTATAGCAAGACTAACTTCTCCCTTGGTTTCAATAGGCTGACTATCCATTTGTGGTTGAATGATTATGATCATGCTTTCCCCCATGGATGCGTCTTCAGTGTCACTTACCAGAAGTTCATCCCAACTCTTTTGGCTCCAACCATCGTTCGGGCAAACATAGTCGCACCCGTCAAGTAGGGAGTCAAAGAAGGTATGGTCTGAATCTTCAGATGAAGCATTATGTACACAGGTTTCTATAAGCGGAGTTGGCTTTTCCATGCAAAATAATTCCTCGTCTATAGATTCCTGCTCAAACACTTGGACATTGGTATCTTGGGGGCAGGTAATGGGCTCTACTTCCTCCAGAACAGGTTCTTCTAGAGGTGTGTCTTCAACATAATTAAGGAGATGGTCGTTTATTGCCGTAGGCAAAACTTCCTCCTCCTTTTCTTGAATGAGCGTAGGTGGTTCTGAGTCAGGTCCCTCAGTTGGTTCCACCTCATGTACGACTATGCTGGTTAAGACTTGGCTAGGAGGGTATTCAGGTAACATCACCACAGTAGCCCTAGCAAGAGTTGTTATGCTCTCGGGTTTCTGTGATGGTGTAGAACTTGGTGAATCTTCTAGAACTGGCACCTGATGGTTGGATGGTTCAGGGTTGGTCTTAGGTTTTAGAGCCTCTTTTTGAAGATTAACTTCCTCCAATTGTGGATCTTGAGATTGGAGGGGGCGTTTAAGCTCAATAGCCTTACAGAGATCATTGACTAATTTATTGGCTTTAGCTTCGGCTTCTAGTCTCTCTCTTTGGAAGTCGTCAGCATTTTCTGCATCAATTCTGATCCTTCGTGTAATCTCCTTTCGAACTCCTTTTCCTTCCAGACTGATTCAAGAAGTTTTGCTCTTTCTCGAATTGCCACCTTGTTTGCTTCAATTTGTTCTTCAGCAAACAAAGTGTAGTAACGGGAGTAGGGTGGTTCATACCAGGAGCCTTCAGCGAATAAAAGTTCATCGAAATAGAAGATTTTCTGTTCTAATCTTAGGATTTNGTTCAAGTCCGAATCTTGATCCCTTGATGATTTATTCCCTTTTTCTCAAATACTTGAACAAAAATGAATGATTTATGATGATTTCATGTGGAATCCCATTTTATGACTCTTAGAACGAAAATGAGAGTTTTATCCATTAAAATCACATTTTTATGAGATGATTAAATACTATTTACGTGCAATAACGTTTAGAATATGATGTAAATGATAAGAACGAAACGGACTTATCAGAAACCAACAGAAGTTCCCAAAAAGGTAGTCCCTTCTAAGAACTATAGGAAGCTGGACAGACCTCAAAGAGGAAATAATTTCAAAAGAAAACCTTCTAACCCCCACTATACACGAGGCTTTACTCATTATGGGGAAGATAGGAGTTTTCCAAGAAATTCTGAGTGGAGAACTATGCCAAGACATAGTCACCCTCCACCCCAGAAACTATTTGTGCCACCTAAGTATGCTTATAACCGTCACAGGTCATACTATGCACAACCTAGACAAAACTATAGGTCTTATCAACCTAGGTTTGCTAGGAGGAAACAGGAAATAGCACCTCCTGCACGTAGGAAATTCTATGCCTACAACTATGATTACAATCCCAACAAGTTTAGAGCTGCAAGGAAATTCCCTGCAACTTCAAACTTGATGTAGGGACACACACCATTAACTACTCCGGACCCAAACTTAATTGGGTACCAAAATCTTCCTCCTCCTAATGCAGGAAGCCGCTAAGTACCCAGGTGTCTGGTACTTAGACAGTGGCTGCTCAAGACACATGACAGGTGATGCGAGCCTTTTGAGCAATCTAATTCCCTATGATGGTCCAAGAGTTACTTTTGGAGGAAGCAATGATTTTGGCCTTACTAAAGGGCTAGGAAATCTGGTGTACAAAGGACTAACCATCCAAGCTGTATCTTATGTTGAAGGTCTCAATTATAACCTTCTTAGCATAAGTCAGTTCTGTGATAAAGGTTACTCCTTGGAATTCTGCAAGGACATGGCATCTCTCAAGAACATCTCCACAAATGAAGTCATTCTCACTGGGAAAAGAATCAGAAACATCTATGAAGTGATATGGGACGATGTCAAGGAAGCATGTCTAATCAGCAAAGGTGACACTAACCTTCTATGGCTTTGGCATAAGAGGTGAGTCATCTCAACTTCAAAACCCTCAACAAGCTGTCCAAAGAAGGGTTAGTAGAAGGTCTTCCCAAAGCTGTATTCAGGAAGGAAAGCATTTGTGATGCTTGCCAGAAAGGAAAGCAAGTCAAGTCTACTTTCAAGGCAAAACCGGCACCCTCAACTACAAGGATATTAAGTCTTATTCACATGGACTTATTTGGCCCTGTTACACCAATAAGTCTAAGTGGAAAGAAATATGTCCTGGTGGTAGTTGATGATTACTCAAGATACACGTGGACAGTCTTCCTCAACAGCAAGAAGGAGACTCAAGGGAAACTCACCAACTGCATGAAGCTGATTCAAAACCAAGCAAGTCAGACCATTCAGAAGATCAGATCTGACAAAGGCACAGAATTCCTGAATGAAATCATCATTCACTACTGTGAAGAAAACGGAATTCTTCATCAGACATCCGCAGCAAGGACGCCTCAACAGAATGGTGTAGCTGAAAGAAGGAACAGAACCTTGAAGGAAGCAGTAAGGACGATGCTAGCTGAAGCTTCTTTGCCAAAGAGGTTCTGGGCTGAAGCTGTTAACACAGCCTCTATACTCAAAATAGGAGTATGATTTATAAAAGGCACAACAAAACTCCATATGAACTATGGAACGGGAGAAAGCCTAATATATCATATTTCCATATTTTTGGGAGCAAGTGCTTTGTGTTAAACAATGGGAAGAATCATCTGAACACTTTTGATGAGAAATCAGATGAGGCCATCTTCCTAGGATACTCCATGGTGAGCAAGGCATTCAGAGTCTTCAACAAAAGAACCATGATCACTGAAGAGTCAATACATGTTATTTTTGATGAAAAACATGTGGTTGACAAGCCATCAAAGCATGATCATGAGGTTCTGGATCTATCAGACAAGGATGAAGAAGTTAATGAAGCAGATAGAATGAAGCCCACGGAGTTCATTCCGTTCAGAAGTCTACCACTGAAGACTTCACAGAGAAATCCGGATTCAGACAATGATGAGCCTACCAAAAATTTTGGCCAGTCTTCCAATATTCCGGATCTCTCAAATGGTGACAATTCTGGAAATGGAGACTCAGTACCAATCCATCCGGAAACACCAACAACTTCTATTCTTTAACCAGAAGCTGAACAAGATCAACCAGTCAATCCCAATCAACACAATCTTCGTTGGTTAAGGGATCATCCTCCTCAACAGATCATTGTAGATATTCAATCTAGCGTTCGCACAAGGAGTGCCCAACAGAATCTAGAAGATATGCTTGCTTGTTTCATCTCACAAGTGGAACCAAAGAATATTGAAGAAGCTCTAGCTGATTCTGATTGGATCAATGCAATGCAAGAAGAACTCAACCAATTTTCCAGAAATGATGTCTGGAAACTTGTTCCCAGACCTACTCATCAACATGTCATTGGGACAAAGTGGGTCTTCCAGAACAAGATGGACGAAAACGGCGTTGTTATCAGAAACAAAGCCAGGTTAGTTGCAAAAGGATATTGTCAAGAAGAAGGTATAGATTTTGATGAAACCTTCGCTCCAGTTGCTAGACTTGAAGCTATAAGGCTGTTTCTAGCCTTTGCTGCTCACAAGGACTTCAAAGTCTATCAAATGGATGTCAAAAGCACATTTCTCAACGGAAACCTCGAGGAAGAAGTTTATGTGGAACAACCTCTAGGATTTGAGTTACACACTAAGGGAGATCAAGTGTATAGACTCAAAAAGGCGCTGTATGGACTCAAACAAGCACCAAGAGCTTGGTATGATACATTGTCTCAATTTCTTATGGACAATGGATTTACCAAAGGAGTCATTGACAAGACATTGTTCAAACTGCAAGAAGGAGAAGATCTCCTATTAGTCCAAATCTATGTGGACGACATCATATTTGGCTCAACTAAGGAAAATCTCTGCACCAAGTTCTCAACCCTCATGCAAGGAAAATTTGAGATGAGCATGATGGGGGAACTCAACTATTTCCTTGGCCTTCAAATCAAACAGAGAAGTGAAGGGACTCTCATCAACCAAGCCAAGTACACAAGGGATCTTATCAAGAAATTCAAAGTTGATCAGAAGTCATCCGTTTCTGTCCCCATGAGTACATCCACCAAGCTTGATATGGATGTAGATGGAAAGGATGTAGATTAAACTCTCTACAGAGGAATTGTTGGATCTCTACTCTACCTTAGTGCAAGCCGTCCGGATATCTCATATGCAGTAGGTGTTTGTGCCAGATTCCAGTCAAAGCCAAAGGAAAGTCATCTGATAGCAGCCAAAAGAATTCTTAGATACCTCAAAGGAACTCAGAATATGGGATTGTGGTATGCTAAGAGCAATTCATTTGAGTTAGTAGGATACTCAGATTCTGACTTTGCCGGATGCAAAGTTGACCGGAAAAGTACATCTGGTACTTGTCAATTCATTGGTGGAAATCTTGTTTCTTGGTTCAGTAAGAAACAAAACTCCATTTCTACATCAATAGCAGAAGGAGAGTACATTGCTGCTGGTAGTTGTTGTGCTCAGATTTTGTGGCTAAAACAACAACTACTGGACTATGGAGTCAAGATGAAGGAAGTGACAATCTTTTGTGACAATCAAAGTGCCATAGCCATCTCACAAAATCCAGTGCATCATTCTCGCACTAAGCACATTGATGTCAAGCATCACTTCATCAGAGATCATGTGGAAAAGAAAGATATCAAAATTGAGTATATCTCAACTGAAGAACAACTCGCGGATATCTTCACAAAACCACTAAGTGAAGCCAAGTTTTCCGATTTGCTTCACAAAATTGGTCTAATTCAATTAGACTGACTGTGGTACACGTGGCAGTTCACTTTCCACGTCTGTCAAAATATTGGGTAGGCACGTGGCCTTGGGAATAGTCAAAAACCCAATCGCCACTAGCCGCATAAATCGCCCAAATCAAACCCAATCGCCACTATTCAGATCTCAACCGCCCACTCAAAATTTTTCGTTGTCTTCTTCGCGGGAAACTCTCAAGAACCCTAAGATTTTTTCTCTCTTTCAGATTCTCACTCAAATTTCTGAGAAAATGAAGGTTGTCGGTGCAAATATTCATTTCCAAAAGTTAGAAGCCAAGTGCTCTTCACCGACATTCTATCAAAGCTATCTGGAGATGATAGCCGCTCAAGAACTCTCCGAATTTCTTCAAATGAAGATTCGCCTCAAATTTGAAAAAGAAGTTCTTGAATTCTACAGAAATGGAAGGGTCATGTCTGTTAAATCAAAGAAGGACCCACAGAGGATGATTCAAGTCATCAAGTCAACTATTGGAAGGACCAAAGTGAAGCTTTCGCAGAAGAAATTGGGAGAAAAGCTTCACCTTCCCAATTCTGGAGTTGAAATTGGGAGAAAAGCTTCACCTTCCCAATTCTGGAGTTGAAATTGGGAGATTTCCAGCCAAAAATCTGGACTGGAACGTTATTGGAATTTCTGGGCAAGCTCCTTCTGGCCCAGCGAAGAAAGCATATCTGAACAACGACTACAAGTTAGTTTTGGAACTGGTCATCGCTTGCCTCGAGTGTGGAAGTGGAGGTCATGCCGATGACATCACGCAGGAGAGAGCCTTCATCATCAACGCTCTCATTACCAAATCTAAGGTAAATTGTGCTGCACACTTCTTCAAATCCATCTCAAAACATCTAGGAAAGCACAATCAGAAGTACCTTTGTCAAGGTCTGTACATTGGACATATTTTGGAGTCTATGGGTGCTGCTTCTAAAGGAAAGAAGTATGAAGAAAGATATTGGTTATACTATCTGTCTTTAAAAGGGGAAAACAGAGCTGGTGCTAGTGCTACTGCTGAGGAAAGCTCTTCAGATAATGTCCCACTCATCAACTTGGCGAAAACAGCCAAGAGAAAGCATGTGGTGTCTCCCTCTCCAGTGTTGAAGCACCACAGAACCTTGCTCTGGTCAATCTTGAAGAAGTAGAAGAAGTCTCTGACCAAGGAGAACTTCAAAGGAAGAAGAAGAGGAAAATCACCTCTCCTTCAACATCTGGAAATGTCAACTCGGATAACTTGAAGGAGAAGGAACCTGCTGAGGAAATCTCTGCCCAAAACCGGAGTCCTCAACAACTTGAAGAAGAAGAAATTCCTCAAGTCCAAAGCCTTCCAACCCCCTCACCTCAACCTCAAACAGATGATGCTGATACCACTTCTGGCAGCTCTACTATGATTGGAAAGCCTGGAAAGTTGGAAATTCATCAGAACAATTGTTGGATTGGGACCAACAACTGAAGAATGAGAAGATTATCAAGAAGTGCTTAGGAATACCAGTCAACCACAGCTGTGAACAAATTTTGGATGATTACTGGGTATGGTAAAGGAACCATGAAGACTTGCATCTAGAATACCTAGCCAACACACCAGCTTCAGAATTTGAAGTGGATGATGAGGATCCTGCAGTCTACAAGGCAGTCTTCTCAAAAGCCACAAAGAACAAGTGGTTCTCACTTCTAAAGCACAAGCTGACTTGGAAGCAACAACTGAGGAGTTCCAAATATTTCCGGAAACCTCACCTGCCTTTGAAATGGTTCTGACTGAAGCTGTCCAAGAGAAGGCAGCCTCTCCCCCACAAGAACAGAACCAGAAAACAGCAGAAGAAGAAGAATTTCAGCAACTAATCCAATCTCAAGTTTTAGATACTCTCACAACTCCTTGTGAGATCTCCAATCCTACTGAAACTGAGATCCCGGAGAAGTCAGCAGAAATTCCGGAGCAGTCAACTTTTCCAGAAACAAATGAAGAGGAGCAAGCTGTAGAAGTCTAAAGGAATTCTGGAGAAGCTGAGAAGGAAACTCAAATGGCAGAACTGGAGGTCTCTAAAACTCCAATAGCCACTTTTGAAGAACAGAATGAAGCTGAAGAAAGAGACTCCCTCTCTAGGGATATATCAAATTTTATCCTTGATGAAGCAGAGGAAGAATCTGAAAGAACGCTGAGAATCAATGATGAAGAAGATGTGCAAGAAGATGCTGAATCTCTTCCTATGCAACTCTTCCAAAGAACACCATCTTCTCATCAGGTAACCAACTTTCATTTTCATAGCTCTTCCATCCCTACACTTCCGGATGAGAAGGTCCAAGGGCTGATTGAATCAGCCCTAGCATCTCAACATGCCTCCTTTAGGCAAGAGATAGAGCAAATGGAAGTCAGGTACACCAAGCTGATAGAGAAATCTGAAAAGAAACACAGCGCAGATCTCAAAGAAATAAGCAAGTCAGTGCACAAGACTCTAGAGATCATCTCTCTATTGAGTAAAACTGTGAGCAACACGATGGAGACATATGCATCTGACAGATATCTTCAACTCAAGGATGCTAACAAGATCAAAGAACAAATAGCAAGTGTCACAGTTGGTCTACAAAAACAAATGTCTCTTCTCCAAATGGACATCAGATCAGCCCTGGCAGTATCTTCAGCAAATCAGGTAGTGACCAAAGACTACTTGAAGGTGATCATTGACAATCATAAGGAAGCATTCAAACTGTTCAGACTTCTTGGCGCAAAGTCTGGAAATCGCAAGATGGAAGTGATTCTTCAACAACACAGTCCATCCTTGATATCAGAACTCCCCATTGCAGTCAAAGAAGGAGAAGTCTCTTATATCCCTTCTCATCTGAACATGACTAATCTAATCCTTGAAGCACAGCAAAGAAATCCGGAGAAATCAGCACAGCACCTATCCAGCTCAGGATTGGATGGAACAGAGGCTGTAGGAACAATTGCTGCTCATTTCCCAAATGATGATCAAACAGAGGAAAGACGCAACAATATAAGGCGCATCAAAGAACTGTGTGGAAACATGCAAGGTATCAGTGAGGCTGCCGGATCTTCAAAATGCAAGAGGAGCTGAAGGTTCTTTTCATCAAACCAGGGGGAAAGTATGTGAAAACACTAATTTGTTTTGATGAAAACACCTTCTTGTTTAAACATTGCTTGATTAGTTTAAACATTGGTTCAACAATTCTCTTAATTTTGCTTATTATGCTTGATTATGCTTATCTCAAGTATCCTGAGAATTTTTGTTTCTGAAGCGCATACATTCAGGGGGAACTTAACTAGTTTTGGCTAAAAATTGTTTTTGGCAATGAATTATTGATGAGCTCTAAGCAATGGAAGACGGATACCTCAGTTTTGGTACTACAATTGGAAATCTCCGATTCAGGTACTTTACAAAATCTGCCTTCTTAAACTAAGCTTTAATCCTTAATTCATTTCCAACTAGCTCTAAAAGTACTGGTCCTTAGGATTTTTATAATGTACAGGACTTTGGAATAATAGTACCACTTTTCTTTTAAAAATAAATTTCATATTTTTTTGGTACTACCTCGTCCTAATTAGAAATTAGAACTATAGGGAATGAAAAATGATAGTTTTATTTTTAGGCCTTGAGAACCGAATAGGAATAATTTCCCTTTAGTACATAGCTTTCTTTTCTTTTTGGGCCACTCTTTTGGGCTTAGCCAAACTAAAACAGTTACGTTTCTCAAACCAAACAAAACTGATTTTCTAATTAGAACAGTTTCAACTCATTGATAACTGGCAAAAGATTCCTTCCACTTTTCAACTTCTTGGAAGTTGAAACTCCTTTACTCTCACCGTTCCAACTACTCACTTAATGGAACCCGTGAACCTCCTCCTCCCCTATTTAAATCAAGACATTCCAATCCATTTCCATCACAAACAACTCTCTCAAAATGAAAGTCTTCAAGTTCACTGTCTGAGAAAAACACCAAGAAAATATCTTCAATGGAGAAATTTTTCTTTCTCACCCTCATAGACGGCATTGGAGAAAAGCCTAGTGAGAAGAAAAGTAATTTAAAGTATATGGTGCAATTCTCGGCAGTAGAGAAAGTATATGGTACAATTCTCGCATTTTTCAGGATTATACCATACACTTTCTCTGGAACAACACTCTCTCTATTTTTCTTTTTATTTTTACCTTGATTTCTTTCATCTCCCTCTCTTTCTTTTTCTAGACATTTTTTTTTGAGCAGTCGCCACACTCTTCTTACAAGTTTTTTTTTAAAAAATTTTTTGTGCTGCCTCTGCTCCCTTCTCCCAAGCATTTTTCAAAATCACTTTTACAATTTGTTTTATTCTAAAACTCTTTTTCAAAATTTTTTTAAAAAAAAAAAAATTTTTTTTGCCTTCATCTTTAAAAACTTTTACTTTATCTTTTTCACAATCAATTTTCTTTTCCAAAAACCTTTTTCCTTGTCTTTCTGACTTTTTCCTTTCTTCCACCGCCGCCTCCCTTCTCTCCACTTTTCTTTGTTTTTTGTTCTTGCCTTTTGAGAGATGTGTTGCTCCCAAGATCTTGAATATCCACTTTGGATATTAAAGATCTATCAAACGCAACGCCAACTGCTCTGCCAAGCAGAATCTGCTGAAGCTGAAAACGGTCAATGGCGGAAGATATCACAAAATTTCAAGACAAGACTTGGTTTAGGAATTATTGTAATTTGAATTGTATTTGTTTAAGAGTTTTTGTTAACAAGCTGTATATTATGAGAAACTAAAAGAGAGTTATAAAATTAGTTCTCAGTACAGCGACTGGAACTCTTAAACACTTGTTTGTCATCATCAAAAAGGGGGAAATTGTTGGAAAAATTATAGATTTTGATGATGATGTATTTAGAATGTAATAGGGACTTTAGGTCTCCCCCAACATTCAATGTAATTTTTCTTTTTAGAAATATTGTTAAAACCGAGTTCTTGAGATTTCCAATAAAGTTGTGATATTTCTTTAAGCGGTTTGATGCCTGAAGACTTAATCAAATTCAGTGATTTGGAAATTGGATATCTTGATCGGAAATGTCAGAGACAAGTAAGGATTTCTCAAAGCGGATGAAAATCCTCAAATTCGGAAGACTACATAAGAACCGGATGTCTCGCTACAACCCGCTGAAGACTAAGTCGGAAGACTAGCGCGGATTTCTTTCTCACCCGGAAGACTGAGAACGACTCCTCCGGATTTGTTAGCCAAGAACCGGATGCCTCAAGAAAGACCGGAATTCTCAAAAAGCAGACAAGTGAGAAAAGACTTGGAAAATTATCTAAGTCTTGAATGAAAAAATTCTACCCGTTGGTAAGGAAAAATCAATCTCTTGATTTTCAACGGCTAGATTGAAGATAATTATGCTGATTCAAGAACAAATGACTCAAAAAACAAAGTCTGGACCTCTAAAAATTGAAGAGCCTCTCCAGAATTCCTAAACAAGCACTAGAAGACAAACAGAGTAAAGTGCTACAGTCCAGAATCCTTGAACAACAGCTAGAAGACGGATTATGTGGAAAAAGGAATCCCTTCTCAACAATTGGGTACGTCCAAACACCCACTTCAACGAAGAATCTTCAAATCACAATCTTCATTCAAAATTGAAGCCAGCAAATGCAACGGATAGTCTATTATTCAACGGATAGATTATCCAATCCAGCTATAAATAGCATCCTTAGAAGACTGGAGAAGATATGATGAGATACAACAACGACTAAGAGCAATCTCTAATAACAAAGCTATCTCATTCACAGTTAGCCCAAAAAGCTTGATAAAGAGAGATTTCTAAACTCCTTATCCAGAAGCAAACTTCTCCTCCTTCCAAAGAGCTATAGTGTAAACACTTGAAGGTTTCCTTGCCTCAAGTACCACACCACGTTGAAGGATACAACTTTTGATCAAACTTATTGATTGAAAGGGGGTAGGTCAACTTTCTTACAAGTTGGTCTTGCAAGTCCTATTGTTCGGACCTTGCAGTTGTTGAAGAAGCGTGACCTTCGAAGGAACAACAAAGCCAGCACGAGTGCAGTAGCAACATTGGCCTTGCGAAGATATACCGTGCAGAAATTCACACAAGTGTAATTGTTGGTTCATTATTCAACAACCAACTACATAGTGGATTTTGAGGACGTAGAAGGATTACCCCACCTTCGAACCTCGTTAAAGTTTGCGTGTCTCTCTCTCTTATCTTTATTCTTACTTGCAATTATATTAACTGTGAAAACTAACCCATCCATATTGATTACTGCTCACCCTACCCACCAAATTCCGCACACAATCTAAAGTTCACAAGAACTCTAGATTAACACTCATTTTCACGTTTTCAAAAGAAACGAAAAAGTTTTAAATTTGTAACAAAGTCTATTCACCCCCCCTCTAGACTTTGTATCTCACCACTTTGGGACCACCAAAATTCTAGATTCAAACCCCAAGTTAGGATAAGAGTGTGTAATATCTCTTAAACATCAACTTGGTTTATCCATCCCTAATTTTTTTTCCATTTCTTATCTCCCCATTTCTCTTCTTCACCTTATTCTTTTCTTACATTAAAAACACTCAAAAGAACTCCTTCATCATCTCCCTATATTTCCAAGCCTTTCCCCCACAAAAACACCCTTCTTCCTGCCAAGAATTCTACCAACTAATCGATTATCCTTTCCGACAATCGATTAACAGCCCTTCGTTGGAACACCTGCAAACCATAACAATCGATTCTCATCCTTGACAATCGATTATCATCCCTATGTTAAAACACCTATAGTCCTCTATAATCGATTATCAGCATACTGATTATCGACTATCAATCCTTCCTGAAAATCCAAGCAACTACACCATCTAAAAATCGATTATCCAAACTAAACAATCAATTATCATCCTATCTTGAAAATCGAGGAGCTTTGTTTCTTGAGTTTGAGCTTAATATCAATAAACCCAGAGCTGAGATATATCATTTGGTATCAAAACTTCTTGTTCCTACATCCTAAAGGACCAAGAACACACTTCCATTCTTTCTCCTTTCCTTCATCCTCATTTCGGCCAAAACATTCTCCCCCCATTTCCTTCATCCTAGCTACTGCCCTACCTTCATTCTTTCACTTCCTAGTTCAAAACATGTCTCACACCTCCCAAAACATTTGGCTCAACTAACCAAGTTGAAAATGAGCATGGTCCAAACTCCAGAGGAAAGCGAAGATGAGCAAGAAGAAGACGCCCAATCAGAAGTTCCTTCTCCCACCATGAGAAAAAACAACCAAGAGAAGTCTTCCTCTGACTTCAAGGTTGAAATACCAACCTTCGATGGAAAAGATGACCCGGATGATTTCATCAAATGTTTAGAGACGATTGAACGCATCTTTGACTATACCGAAGTACCTGAGGACAAGAAGGTCAAGCTTTTGGCCTTAAAATTCAGAGGCTACGCATCTACATGGTGGACTAACACTACCACCAAGCGCAAAAGAGAAGGTAAGGCTGTTGTTAAAACATGGACCAAGATGAGAGTTTTGTTGAAGAAGAAGTTCATTCCCACTCATTATATAAGGGAAAACTTTGCTAGGCTTCAACGCCTAAGGCAAGGAAATCAGTCCGTAGAAGAATACAACCGAGAGTTTGAAGAACTATTAATGCGGTGTGATCTCCAAGAAAATGAATTACAAACCTTTGTGAGATACCTCTTTGGCCTAGACATCCAAATCGCCAACACCGTGGAGCAGCAAACCTTTGAGAGCCTTGAAGAGTTAACCAAGTTAGCACTTAAAGTGGAAGCTCAACTCAAGAAGGGCAAATCTTCTTTGAGCCGTGCCAATTCTTCCTCCCCAAGTACATCAACTTCCACCCCCCTTGCTGACCAAAACCCCACGGCCCCCTCCCCTCAAAATCCTAAAACCATGCACACTATTTCCTCACCAAGTGCTCCTCTTCTTTCAAAACCGAGTTCATCAAATAGCCAAATACAAAAGTCTTTTCGTTGCCAAGGCATTGGTCACTATGCTAGTGACTGCCCAAACAAGAGGATCATGGCTATTGTCGAATGTGAAGAAGAAGAAATGAATCCATTTTGGGTTCAAGGAGAGTTGAACGAAGGAGAAGAAATTGTCGGCCCCGAAAAAGGTGAACTTTTGGTCATTCAAAAGACCATTAGTCAAGCGGCTGCCCAGGATGATACCGCACACCGAGAGAGTATTTTTCATACTCGTTGTACCATCCAAGAAAAGGTGTGTTCAATGATCATCGATAGTGGAAGTAGTGCCAACGTTGTTTCCAAAACAGTAGTGGAAAAGCACAATCTCGAGACTTTTCCACATCCAAAGCCTTATGAGATTCAGTGGTTGAATCTAAAAGAAGGAGTACGTGTAAATACACGTAGCTTGGTCTCGTTTAGCATGGGTAAGTCCTTCCACGATGGCGTGTGGTGTGATATCATACCTATGAGAGTTTGTCATATTATTCTCGGAAGGCCATGGCTATATGATCGGAGAGTTACTTACGATGGTTTCACGAACTCCTATTCATTTTTGACGGATATAAGGAGAATTACTCTTACCCCGTTAATACCATCTACCCTATTGCACCAAGCACAAACTCCATCCATACTCTCCATTTCTATCAAGTCCGAAATTCCAAGGCCCAAAGAGTCACTCCATGAACAAGTTCTTGAGCCAAATCTGCCCTCGGGCCTCTTTGATGATTCCCCACCTGAACCCCTCCTTGAAAGGGGAAACAATGGAGCTTTGTTACTACTAATGGCCTTTGGCGCCAATCTCTTTGTGTCTAATTTGCAGGGAAGTCATGAAGAAATACAAGGAAGAAAGAACACTTATTCTAAGTGTTCAAAAGGACAATTTGAAATTTTCATTCCCCGAGAATGGAGATGCATGATCAAAGGTTTTGAAGCAATCAAGCTCAACTCCAGCCCATATGAAGAGCTTAAAAACAATTTGAGTTTGAGGGAAAACTCTTTCGAAGAAGGGGAGGATGATAGATATCTGGGAGCATCCACGAAGACTTTCCGTAGCTCACAAAACGAAAAGGCGGATCAGGAAAATAAGGCCGAAGTGTTGCGACGTTATTTGGGTTAAATCCACTATGTTATCCTATCTCAAACCCCACACCGACACCGTAGTTGTCCTACACCCCCCCTTGGCCGAACCAACACCCCACTCAACCCTGAAGATCCAAATCTTTGACCACTTCTCATTTTCATACAAATTACATATTTAAAATGTCATAACTGAAAATTTGTACATCTGATTTATTCATAAAATATATCGTTGGATTCGTCTCTTCGAGACTTATCCATAAAAGTCAATCTTTAAAAAAATCATTGACTCAAAAATTTCTTTCGTTTTTGGCCAAGCATAGAAATAATTCTTTGTTGGGTCAAAATATTGTTTCTAAACTACTTTTATTATAGAATAACTTTTAGACAATGTTTTGGGGTGTTACAACAAACTTTCACCATGGAATCGATCCTTACTTATCCTAGTTATAGTTCTTATTTAATTATATCTTGGGGTTAGCTAAGGTTTTTTTATAAATTTTTAATTAGTTTTGGACCGCACAACGGGTTCTCAACGACGAGTCACCTCTAGACGAGCGACCAGGGAAACACCTTTCGCCCTGACATACAGATGTGAAGCCCGTCTCCTGACCGAAGCTGAATTGCCTACTTTTCGAGAGGTTCATTATCAACCGAACCAAGAAGAGGTCGATCACATGGCCGGATTAAACTTAATTGAAGAAAGATGAATGATGACAAAAGTCAAGATGGTCGGCTATCAAAAAACCATGAAGAAGTACCATGATAAGAAGGTGGTTGTGCGTTATTTTCAAGTACATCATGAAGTCTTGCAGCGAAGAGATGCCAGCTAACCAAACGAGAGGGGAAAGTTGGTGCGCTATTGGCAATGGTGTAAATTAACCACTGGGTAAACAATTCTAGACCGAGTCTAGGATTGTTTACTCGATTCGGGAGGGTAAACAATAGTGAACACAAACGTTAACCCGAAGGACTGTAGGTAAAAATACTTATAGCCAAATTGTTATTAGAATATAGCAAAGTACATGGGAGCTATTACACAAGGGTTTTTAGAGAGAAGAATTTGGATCCCTTCCTTTGAGGGTTATACAGGTATTTATAAGAAGCTAGGGGGGACATGGCAACTCGCATCCTCGTCAGGCCATGTTCCTGAGTGGCGGAAGGTGATTGCCTCTGTCTTTTAGTGGTTTGTCTCATCCCATTATTCCCTTTTCATCTATCTAGGAAGGTGATTCCCTTGTTGCGTAGCGTGTTGGGCTTATTGCGCAAATATCTTCAGTGATCTTTCATTGAAATTGGTTGCTACCGTCAAATGATCTTGAAGTTACTTGTGATGACACTTTTACATTGTAGCAACCTACCCGGTAGGTTCATCTTTCACGCTTGGAAAGGTCAGAAGTCTACCAACTCAAAGTCATATACTTTTACCGGTGATCTCATATAAAGTATCGGTCAACTTTTTCGACCTTGATCGATGTCTTATTTCTAATTCAAATCTTCAATGATGTCATGTCTCAATAAGCCCTCCACTTCTCGGGCCTAAAAATTATCAAGGACGCGAAGTAAAAACCTAGAAGACAGACCACTTTAAAATTTGAATTTTGAACCTTTCCCGCCTAAAATTTTCAAGATTTTAATTATGATATCTCTAATTTTTGACACGTGCCGCTCGCCAACCGTTGTCATAACTGTGTTGTCGCCTTGTCCGATCGTCTTCCTATGCATCATGATTGTGCCGCCTGACGCGGCCCAACCATTGTTCGCCACGTCTCCTATATTTTTTTCTTTTTGCTCGTCTATATAAAGGCCTCCAATCCCTTCATTCCCTCACCTTTCGCGCACATCCTCTCAAGCTTTTACCGGTCAAGTTCCCAACTTTAGTCTTCCAGCCCTCCGAGTCAAGTAAGCCTTTCCCTTTTCTCTTTCTCTTTTTTTTCCTGTCATGTCTTCAGAGGAGGATAGTCAAAACATCTCTTCCTCAGGTGCCTATGCATTTGAGGAATCTATCTCGTGTTCTTCCTTGACCGGTTACTATTCTTTCAATTTTGAATCCACAGCTCCTCAAACTCATGTCCCCGAGCCTGAATCAGTCAATCGAGTACCAAGTAATGTTTTAGGGGAAAGGGAGGAGTCGGTCAATCAGGATTGATTTTTAGGACCCAATAATGGATTTTTTTCTTCTGAGCAAAATTCCTTCATCGGACGAAATGATAATTGGTTTTTGCCAAAGTGTAAAAATCAATTTTTTAAGTAATAATGCTCAAACATGAAGAACACAATCATGTGTGCGAGGCGAAGTGCTTTATTGGATTTTAGCACTTGTTTGGGACAAGAAATCAGACCAAAAGAGGCTCCCCACTGATAAAAATAATTCAAATTCAAATTTGAATTATGAGAATGTATTTTTTGTGTGGAAAATGAGTCTCAAAAATATCTTGTGTGTCAAACAATGAACACGAAAATATTTGAATAAAATATTTTTGTTTACCAAAAATATTTTCTAATATCAGAATAAATATTTGAATAAATGCTTGACACACCTTTTGTACCTCACTCAATAAAAGTATTTTGAACGGTAAAAAGGATTTTTCAACTGACTCCAAAAATAAATACGAGTATAATTTTTATTTTAACTCTCATAAAAATAATTTTGCAGAGAAGATATATTTTTGTCATCTTTACAGTATGTTCCTAGACTCAATAAAATAAAAAGTATTCGGAAATCTTCTTCTCCTCCCGAGTCCTCCGTTAGGCGTTCTGAACGCATTTCGGACTCTAATTAAATCCTGTGCACCTTCTTGAATCTTTCAAGGATTTTGGCACTTCAAGTCTTCGTGTTTTTCAATGTAGTACTTTAATCTTGACTTGAATAAATTGTGTTTGTCAATTCAAAACCTGTGAGTCAACACTTAACAACACAGAAATGGTTGTTGAACTCATGCATTCAACCATTAATCAGATCGGATGTGTTATTATCAGATCCATATCCGTTTATTTTTATCGGATATCGAATTCGGATAAGGATCTTGACGGATATTAAAAATCAAAACTGTATCCGCATTCGTTTCCAATTTTTTAAGTTAAATTGAGAAATACTTTAATTTCCAATTAACTTAAAGTCAAAATATTATTTATTCAAGTGTAATCTGTTACAAAGTAGTTTTTTCTTATTTTTAATAATTTATAATATTCAACATAACTCCATATGATAAAAAGATATACACGATACACACATATATTTTTATGTACATATTCTTATGTGTCTACACATACATATTGTATATAAAAATGTCTTGTACTTTGAGATGTCAATAGAAAAAATATAATAATAAAGAATTAGGAAAAATTATATTATATAAAATTGATTGAATGTATGGATAAACGGTTATTTAAAAGGATGTCTATGCGAAACGGATTATAAACGGATTGAATGTATAGTTATCAAATCTGTATCCGTTTACCAATCGGATATTGATAATAACAACCTAAAAGATTAAACCATTTTTTTAAAAATTGAGCGAGGACAAAGGGGCATGAAGGTTGGCTACCGGGTTGGGCCTTTAGTGAATGGCAGATTGAGCCCGAATGATCCGAGTCCAATATCTCTCTTTTCTTCCGCCCTAGATCTAATACAGCCAATCTTTCTTCCCTACTGCCAAAGGCAATCACCGTCTTTCCTACTCCAACAGACCCTCACCGGCCGCGCTGTTACTATGGCCGCAGAAACTCCGGAAGCCTTGACATCCTCCGACGCTGCCGCCGCCGCCGCCGCCGCTGCGTCCGCTGCCGCTGCCGCCTCCGCCGCGGTAGAGGGTAGGGTGAGCAGAGAAACCGTGGAGAAGGCCGTTACCGCCCTGCTCAAATGGAAGGAGTCACAATCGGAGCACCAAGCGCCGCAGCTACTACCACAAGACGAGTTCGTCTACCTCAACATCACCCTCAAGCGAATCCCCTCGAAGGCGCGCACCAATCCTTTCCGTGTTCCTCTCCCGCACCCCCTCTATGACCAATCATCCGAGCGTTGTGTCATCATCGACGACCGTCCTGGCTCCAATCTGACTTCAGAGAAGGCGAAGAAGATTATAAAGTCCCAGGGCGTGACAGTAAGCAAGGTCTTGAAACTCTCTAAGCTGAGAACAGATTATAAGGCGTTTGAGGCAAAAAGGAAACTCATGGGTTCCTATGATTTCTTCATGGTGGATAACAGGATTGTTCATTTCCTTCCTAAGCTTTTGGGAAAGCACTTTTTCAAGAAGAAGAGGTTGCCTTTGCCTGTCGACTTGACAAAGAAGGATTGGAAGGCTCAGATTGAGAGGGCATGTGCTTCTGGATTGTTTTTCATGTCAACTGGGACTTCTAGTGTGATGAAGGTTGGGAGGCTGTCAATGGAGAGTGGAGAGATTGTTGACAATGTGATGGAGGCAATCAATGGTCTTGTTGACTATGTTCCCAAGAGATGGGACGGTTTGAGGAGCTTTCAGTTGAGACTAGCTGGTTCTGTGGCATTGCCTATGTATCAAGCATTGCCTGATTTGAAGTTGAAAATCATTGGGGCTGATGAAGCTGAGACAGCAGTGGATGCCAAACAGTTGACTGACGGAACCCAGAGGGCAGGTAAGAAAAAGAGGAAAGATAGGCTTCATGCAGTACGATATATGGATGCTGAAACAGGTGGAGTCGAATTAGAAAGTGATGATGAAGAGGTTGAGAATGAGAAGCAGAAAATGGATGTCAAAATGGGTAATGCGGAAGAAGACATTGACGAGGATATCGAGGAAAATGAAAGTGGGAAGAGCAAGGGGCCTGATTCAGTTCCAGCTAAGCTTAAAGGTAAGAAAGGGGTGAAGGGAAAGAGCAAGAAATTGAAGAAGGGGGATGACTTAGATGTTAAGAATAATCCTGAGAGCAACAAAGATAGTGAGGAAGATGAGAGTGAGAAGAGCAAGGGGGGTGGTGATTTGGTTCCTGCTAAGCTTAAAGGTAAGAAAGGGAAGGGAAAATCTCCGGAAATTCAAGCTTTGAATGGTAAGGGAAAGAGCAAGAAGCTGAAAAGGGGGGATGACTTAGATGATAAGAAACAGAAGAAAACAAAGTTGTCTTCAAAGTCTGAATCTGCAGCGAAGAAGGGGAAACGAAAGGATTTGGCTGCTAAGAAGTCAAAAGAAGAAGTGATCAAGCCGAAGAGCAAGAGAAACAAGAGTGAGTGAGGAGAATGTGGACTACATAGTTCACAGATTTTGTGGCAATGCAGACTCAAAACAGTTCTTTCTGTCATTGCTGTTTTGTTGCAATTTTACCTCTCCTACTTTTATAGGTTCTTTCTTTTCATTATTATCATCATCATCAGTTATTGGGTTTCAATATCAATATTGTTCTACATGTGGAACTTGTGAGGTCTCTCTTGATCTTCTATGTTTACTGTTGAAAATGTCTAAAAATTTCAGCATTTTGGCTACCTGTTGCCAATCATATATGCTCATGAAACTGTTATTTTCTCTAGATTTCTTAGTATCAGTTCTGTTTCTTTCCGTGTCTATTTGTTTTTATTATACAGTGCTTTGCTGGTAATTGGATGTCAATGCTTCTGCTGAATTCCCATAAAACTGAAGAGCAATTACAATGAGTGTCAATGCTTCTGATAAAATTTCTGCTCAATGCTTCTGTTGACATAGCGTGCCATCCAACTTTTTTCACAAAATAGTGAGTGTGCATCCCCATTCACAATGAAATGATCAGCTTTGTTGTGTAGCTCTGCTGGAAAGTCTTTTAAGTTGATGGTGAATTCATTTGGGTCAGAAAAAATTTTCATCACTCCCTTTAGTAATGTTGCAGTGTGAGCCCTCCAAGCTTGCAGAGCCAACACTGCATGTTCTTCAGATTACTCAACTTGTAGTAACTGTGTTTAGGGTTTATTGTTTTCTCTTCTAATCCATATTGAGTTGGAGCCTTTTTTTTCTTACCATTTTTGTGACCATATCTTCGGCAGGTTGAACAAAACTTGGGCAAATCTTCAAAAAAAACCATCGATTTTCCGACCTTTTCTTAGTAATCAACGGAGGAAATCATCATAGGAACTAAAATGAATCAGAATGTGTTTCTCATCAAGCAGCGAAGAAGACACAGGGCGTCCTATCCGTTCAATTGGTTCAAATACCTTTGGGATCGTAGCAAGGTTGGGTCTACCCGATCTAAAATTGTCCAATATATTTTTCTTTACTCCGTATTAGTCTTTTTAGTGTAATGTTCGATGTGGAATTTAAACCTTGAATGCAATGACTTTTTTCCAAAATGCTAAACCAAGCTTTACAAATAGCCACATTAAAAAATCACCACTGTTGCTAAAAACAAAAAAAAAACTTGAAGTAAATCTTACTCTCCTTTGATCAATGTGTAAAACCTCGTGACTTTTAAAATAGTTTGATTTCAAATTGGTAAAAAAAATAAAAAAAAATAAAAAAAAAATGTTTAAATATTACATTAAGAAGTCTACAAAACAAGATGTGATAAGAATATTTTATTTTATTTAAGGATCAATGAAAACTTGTAAACAAATAAGTATTATCGAAAGACTGTAATAATAAATAAGAATATCTTTTAGGAACAGATAGTATTTACCATACAATTATATTTAAGAGAACAATTGTGTGTGAACGGACGGGTGATAGCTCACCTACAAAGGTTGTCTCAAAGCTCTTTTTTAATGTCAAATTTGGCATGCACTTAAGTTTAATTCCTCAATTTTATTTCCTCGTTTTTTTTACTTGCATTTTTTTTTTAAATTTTTTTAGAGAAGGCTGAATGTGGTGCGACAACGAAGAGTGGTGATGATCTAATTACTAGTATTTTTACCCGTGCAACGCACGGGTCGAACAAAATTTTAATTGATTCTAAAACTTTTTTAATGCAATATTTTTTCCCAGAATAAAGCTTATATATTTCCCTATGATTTTTAATACTATATACAAAAATTCCAAAGTAGAATAAACTATATTTGAGGAATTGAATGTGTATTCAACTAAGTTTTTTTAATACCAAACTTTTGAAAGACTGTAAGGTATATAATTTTTTGATATAGTAATTGCAAGGGTATCATTTTTATTTAGAACCAATATTTTTAATTGTGTTTTTGTCTTCACTCATAGAACCATAACATAAAGCTGATCATGAGTGAATACCAACTTGGTTAAAAGTAATGCAAGAAATGAAAATGTTTGACTTTGACTTTTGTTGATACTCATAGCAAAATATAAGATTATTGAGATTTGCCTTATAAATAACTTCAAGAGTAGTTCTGGATCATATGGTATCAATTTCATTTGGAATATGTAAACTTTTTGCTGACTCGATTTCTCAAAACCACAATAGATTACTAATGATGCCCTCTGTTAAACTTACCAAATGAAGTGTGAGTACATCATCAATTACACAATAGTTTTCACAATTTCACCTATTTACACTATAGAAGAAAAAAAGAAAGGTATGCAAAGAGGTTTCCAAGAAGTTGAAGAAAAGATGATGATTTTGTAAAATAAAAAAACATATATAAGGTAATACTTCCTCCGTCCCAAAAACATTTACACATTTCAAAAAAAATTGTGTCCCACAATCCTTAACTCATTTCTATTAAAAAACCACTTTTACCCCTTATTTTTTCAAACCTTACATATCATATCATACCTTTTTCCTAATAATCTACACAACACATCCTACTTTTACCCATCACATCAAGGGTATTTTTGGAAAGGCAACACAAAATTATCCCTCCCTTAATTTCAACTTTAGTCAAAATGAGTAACACTTTATGGGACGGAGGGAGTATAAGTGTAGAAGGAAACTTTTGGTAGTTACTACTCCATATATATTACTTTGTATATATTTCCTAAACAAAACTAAAAAAATCACTCAAATAGAAGTAAGACATACATAGTAACTCTTATACCCAGAATAAGATTTCAATATTTTTATTTCCTAAATAAAGTTTACACAGTAATGTTGTGGTACTGTATATTACCATTTCATAATGTTTTTAGCACTATATAATAAAATATTGGTATTGTAGTTAATATTTTGGAGATAAAAAATACGAAACTCATATTTTGGAACTTTCTTCATATTCTAATCTTATTTTAGTTTTTTTCCCCAAATAATTATAGTGGAACTTCGTAATCCGTATAGATGGCGGATGATTTGTTAAAATGTTTCCATGTAGACTCACGAGTCACGAATTATTGTAATTCTATGAGTTTAAATCTTAAAAAGAGAAAGACCAAAGTATGACTAAAACATGGAAGATATGCTAAAATAGGACTTCCATGTTTTTATTCCCGAAATAGGACTTACATCACCAAACATGGTTATATACATTACCAAGAAAGTATAGTAATTTGCACATGTACACTGCCACATTACCACAATGCAAAGTCACATTACCACAATGCAAAGTCACATTACCACAATGCAAAGTCCTATTCCGGGAAAAAACATGAAAGTCTTATTTTGAAACTTTTCACTATGTTTTAGTCCTATTGAGGATGATTTCTAAATCTTAAATTTAATATATAAAGATAAAGATTGGCCTCGATATATGAAAAACCATTTTTGTTTATCTATAAATGCAATATCAATAATCTTTTTTTTAAAACGTTGTTTTGAAATATATATATATATGAATTTTCATAAGATATGATAAGTATAAATATTGATATTAATGATCCAAATATTATACTGGAGAGCATTAAAAATTAAATAAGATTAAATCTACTTATACAATGAGGAGTTTTAACATTTTATGGTCGTTTTTTCAAGATATGTAGCAACCAAACCCATTCTTTTTGTTTAGCATAAGACCACTAACCTAAATATAAAATTAATAAAATTCATTCAGAGAAGTAGGTGAATAATTAATTATTTCATAAAAATGGATGAATCTATATCACTTTTTTATGCAAAAATATACTCCCTCCATTCCCCATAGATCTTCTCATTAACCCTTTTTATTTGTCCACCATAGATCTTCTCATTACCTTTTTTAACAATTAAAATATATACCACAACTATTTTCACTTATTTCATTTATTACACCTCACCTACCTCATTTAATATACTCCACCCATTTTCATTAAGGGTATTATGGTAAACTTTCACATTTTTTCAACTCTGCTTAAAAATATAAAAAAAGTAAAAATGAGAAGATCTTAAGGGGACGAAAGGAGTAATTCTAAATCCAAAAATAGAAAGTGTTCTTTACCCCCCATACGTATATATGGTAAATAAATTTGTATGTGTAAATAATTCTAAAAACTTTATTATTCATTAACTGTCTCAGTTCGCTTTGCTGTCAAACGCTTGAATAATTATTTATATAAATATATATAATGAATTGAAATATTAAAAATTAGACTATAATATCAAAATAAAAAATATGTTTGATAAAAAATTCCATTGGTCAAACATATTTTTCGAAAAATGAACCGGGTATTAAAAAGAATAGAGTTACTAATTCTTAAGATTAACTGCATGAAACTAAAAAGACAAATAATTTAGTCACTATGTTCAATCAATAAAAAATAAATTAATGTCAAATTAGTACTCCGTATGTTGATTAAAATTACCAACTCATTAAAATAATAAATAGACAACTGATGATTTATTAAAAATGTTATTTTAGCTCGTGACATGCCAATATCATGTAAGTTAGAGTCTCAAATTTTAAAATAAAAGCAAGGATTAGCCAATAAATGTCATTAGCAATTAATTGAAATTTTTTCAAAATTAACATTTATAACCTCCTAATTATAATGAATATTTGTTCTATTAAGATGTTTTCATACTTTAAGTTAAAATTGCCAAGTCACTTAAGTCTTCAAATGTGGCTGATGATGTGTAAAAAAAATTTGCCAAGTAGCCTGCCACATGCCAAATTTCTAGGAGTTTAACTCCTAAATATTATATATAAAGGATGGGAGTACTTAACCCAAAGAAGAAAAACACCACGTTACGTTGGTTCTTTGATAGAATCTTGTTGACTAAACATTTTTGAGTTGGTTCCTTGACAATACCAATTGAACTTGAGTTTTGGTTAGGACTTAGGAGGATGATATTGGATCACAAGCTTTTTTAGTTATAAATTTTTTAAGTTTATGGAAGGCTTTTTATATTACTGTAAGATTATAAATGATTTTCATTTGAATATGGCATTGGTAGTTGGATTTTGCGAGTCTTTAGTTCCATTGGTTGAATTGTGCATATCTATGACAGTGTGAGGTCATGGTTGTATAAAACAAAAGATGATAAATCCATCAAAGAGGTCGCCGGAGTTGAGAACTATCGTCGCCGGAAGTTTAGTCGGAAAATTTCTAAAACCTTCATTAAGCTTCGAGGTAAGCCCGTTGATATATCTAGTGACTAGGCCTGGACACGGTACCGGTTCGGTACCGTCACCGGCACGGTACCGAGTACCGTTACCGTCACCGGAGACGAGCAACCGGTTCCTGGA